TCTGAAGCGCTTGAATTCCTCAGCCTCTCTCTTTTGCCTCGTAGCTGAAAACCTCCGGACTATGGCCGCAGCACCACGAATGGCGTCAGCTTTGGGTTCAGTTTCAGACTGCTCCTGCTCGGCGATAGTATGAATCTGGTCCAAATTTCCTGTGAATACAGCCGTGTCGGGCACGTCCATGGCGGATTTGGATAATTGTAACAAAACAACGCCGGCGCAAATGGTTAGGAAACCCATAACGACGCTCACAATCTGATTGGCGCTGCCTTTGAAGCCTCGGAAAAGCACGGCCGACGTAATAATCGTTGTGCTGGTGAAGTAAACATAATAGGTCGGCGTGACCATGGCAGCATTGTAGATATTCAACGCCTTGTTGAGATACACAATCTCAATGAGAAGAGTACCGATGACGAAAACGAGGAGGACATAGATGAACCACTTGTTGAACTGCGGTGTGCCCTCTATCTGGGTCAGAATCGCAGCGCCCAGGCCCTGGGTAGCGACAACGCTCAAGCCTCCGATCCAGCTGCAAATGGAGATGTAGACCAACATGGTCTTTTTGCCCCATTTTGGGCCGGCCCAGAACGCGGCGACGAAAAAGCCAATGATGATGACGCCCAGCGTAGGACAGAAATCCAGGCTTGATGACGAAGTCTTGCATTTGCTCGATAGTAGCGACGGCAGACTGCTGTGGTGCGTTCATAACGATGACAACTGAACCTACCAGGCACAGAAAACAGGAGACTTTGCCGACCATGCTCAGTCGCTCCTTAAGAAATATGGCAGACAGAACTGTGGTAACCACGACGGACAGCGCACCGAGAGGCGTGACAAGAATGGCGTCGGTGAAGGCATATGCAGCCAAGTTGCAAAGCTCTCCGAGAATCATGAGCGTCATGCCGCCCCACCAGTAAGCGTTCTTCAGGAAGCCATAACCCTCGCCAGCTTCCTCGTTGTACTTTGCGTTGGCAGCCAGTAGGCCCATCTTTTTCAGGATAAAGGAGACGCCGATGAATAGACCGGAGGCAATGGCCAGACATATGCCAACGGTTTTGTAGAAGGCCGGCCGGCTTGACGGATCTCCGCCGAGGTCAGCTCGCGTGTAGACATGATTTGTTGTGGCCAGCAGCCGCGATGCGTGGTCCATCGCA